ATTGTAATAGTGTTCCGCGAAATATAAAAATTCAAATCAATGGGGAACGTTTGAATAGGGTAGAATCGTGAAAATACTTAGGAATAATTTTCGACCATCATTTAAAGTGGAATAAACATATAGAATATATAATAAAAAAGACTAAATATCTAATATCCATATTGTGTAAATTGTCTAAATACTTCTAAATTGATACATTGAGATCGTTGTACTATGCATTATTTCATAGGGTTATAACCTATGGTAATATTGCTTGGGGGGGTGCGTATCATAATAACCTAGCGCTATTACAAAAACGGCAGAATAAAATACTGAAAATAATTAATAAGAATACGCTTATGAAGGAAAATCCTTTAACCCTAAGACAATTTTTCTCTTATGAATGCCTTACCACCACTATAAGAGCCTGTAAATATTGTTTAAAGATTCGAAAAGTAGAACACGTAATAAATTAATCCAGCTTACTAAGTATCACAGAGTAGTCAGTGAAAAGAATAATTATTCTAAGCGGTAAAAGTGTTTAATAATCTAAGAAATGATCTAAAAAACCACCACCAACCACTTAGCATTTATATTTAGTTTTAATTAATGTTTAGCTGGATAAGTTAGTAGTATTTAAGTTTTAGCACCTCTGCAGATTTACAGAACTTGCGTAATTTTCTGGTGATAAATAAATAAATAAATTATAAGACCCTCTTATAATAAATTAAAAAATTAAATCAATATTAGACTTATGAATGTGTCTAATATAGTTAAATGTAATGGAGATAATGTAAAGTAATGCAGCTCTAGGGAATAATGAAGGGGAATTATGAATATTCGTTAGTGGATTTTATTTTAAAAATTAAAGTTTTGCATTCAATGTTTCATTTCAAATACCCATAATTTTAACTTTTTTTATTTATTTTCCTGACTGCGTGTAATTGTTGTTATATTCTTTTCCTTCCTGGGTTTCAGTCAAAGTGTGAAATACAAATTTGAATTTCGTTGATTTCATAACGTTTCGGCGAGACAACAGCGCCATCATCAGATTTCAAATTTATACAAACTACAAACACCAATTTACAATTAAAATATGTTGTAAAAAAACTATAATTTATAAAGCGTTAAAACATTCATTCGTTTTTGAGAAAAAAGCCCTTCCTTTTGGGAGAGTTTTAAGAGTAATGTTTACAAATTATGAGGTAAGTTTTTCAAATGTTTTGCTCTCCCAAAAGAAAGGGTTTTTTCCTCAAGAACTAATAAATGTTTCAACGCTTTATAAATTATAGTTTGTGTACCACATATTTTAATTGTAAATTAGTGTTTGTAGTTTGTATGTTTCCAAACTTTAACGTGTTAGTAAAATGATAAAAAGTTTCTTTCTCTTCATGCCTTTGAAAATATATTTTCATCAAGATAATTTTCAATCATGATAATGAATACCTACATTTGGTTCTTAAATGAAAATTATTAATAATTTTCTTGCCTGCTAAACTACATTATATCGTTCCACTGTGTAACTGTTCCACTCCATGTCAAGTGAGTATAACGACAACGACAAAACTACTTAAATACAAACTTTCGTGCGTGTCAAATTAAAATTTGCAGAATCTCTTAGTGTGGTACTTTTGCTCAAATTTTGAACTAATGGATAAAATAAAGCATAACACTCGATCCTTTATGCCACTATTATAATATTTATTATAAAATTCATGTATAATAATGTCTGCTTTTCAATTGGGGCTTTCTGCAAACAAACGTTTTTTTTTTATTTAACTAACTGCTCTTGGCCATGTTTAGTGAAAGTAATCCTAAAAAAATTCTAAACAAATATGTTCATGTAACAAGTAAACGCAAGGGTCGCTTAAAATTAAGCCCTATGTACAATGATGTGATTTGTGTTAAAGTGACTATAGTAACAGTGCCTGTATAAGTTGCAGAGTTTGGGGGGCTTTGCCTGTGGCCCCCTTAGTGACTACGAACAATATACTTAACCTAATTGTTAAAACCAACGATGATTTACCTCGAACTTATTGAAATCCAAGGAAACGTTGGTGGCTTTTGGGACCGTTGCAATGCCAACACTTCCAGGGACTGCGAAGACTTCTTTAACATGTGGGCTTTGCGACAGTTTCCAAACAATCGCATGTTCCCGACCACCGCTGCCCACGACCAAAACATTATTTGCCATTTTTCTTTTGATATATTCGTATAGAAAGAATATGATTGGAACTGTACGGCTTACAGTGACTTAAACCAGCAACGAATTGAAGAAGTAATGTTACAATAAATATTTGCTAAGGCGCTCTTGCGAAATATGCAAGTTATTTTTGAAATAAAAGTGCCAGCTACTTGTTGATTCCACGTGACGCCAACCAATCAGACGGACGACAACAGATGACGTTGCTATGGTGATAACCTCCCGCAGAGCTGTTTCAAAATAATATTTCGTTAATCAAATTAAGAAAAGGTCATGGATCAATTAAAACCATAAGTTGATATCAAGTAAATAGAAATTAGTATAGAAGTTAACCCAAATTAGTACAGTAGCAAAACTGTAATCCATGTAAAGTGTCGACGTGTCCTTGAAAAACTAATTTTGAAATAATAACGCTTCATACGCAATTTATTTATTGCATTATGCAAAACAATACTACTGTTTCGTTATTTTTGAAAAATATCTCTTCAACCAAATAATACTGAATAAGTATATTATTTTGCCCAGGTAGCAGCCTGACTCACTGACGTCATCTTTTGGTCATAATCGACCTTTAAAGTCGTGTTACAATTTTGGGCCCCTGTAGTTTTGTAACCAATTATTTTTAGACCTTAAAGACTAGACATGGAAACTTATCAGCCTTAAATTTAACTTTACCTTAATTTAACTAACTTGAAAATGAATCACTGCTACATGGAGATAGACTCTAACAAAAATTACAACATTGTACCAACGTTTATAAATATTTTTGAAACACTCATCGTCAATAGGGATATCAAGTCACCTCTTTTTCTCTTTACTCTAGGTCTGGGTAACACAATTGATTTTCAGGTGTTTACACAGCGATACCGATACGGCTTGCCGTGTCGATACAGCGCGTCATACATTTAAGGTATTGGGAGATACATGATATATACAGGGTGAGTTTTTTTCGTTGACCAGTACAGGGATCTTCGAAACTATAGCAGTTACGAAAAAGGTTAAATGGACAAAGAATTGTAGTTTTGAATACTCTACCCAAAACCAATTTTATTTTTCTAAAATTTGACAGCTGTCAAGAGATATTTTGGAAAAACTTATTTATGGTAAATTTTTAAATTACTCCTAGTTTTGGCGATATTAATTTGACAGGAAAACATTAAATAGAAAGCTTGTAGGAAATTGAATTCCAAACAAAATGACATAAGACATTTCTCCAAAATAACTGTCATTTTTGACATATGACACAAATTTGAGTTTTGTTAAATGGCAAACATAATTGATTATTACTTTACCGAATAGAGCATTTTATTACGCTTTCTGTGATATATCACATCGTTAGGATTTTTTCTGAAATAAAGTGTCTGCGAACAATTTATACTTTTACAATTTAGTTGATCTAAGTTAGTCATGGAAAATAGTATAAGACATAAGACATTGTTTCCATAGCAACAAATAATACTCATATGGATAGATTCTGAAGATAGATCGATATAGAAGATATTGAAGAGAGATTACGACAGACGCCGGTCACGTTGTTTTTAATGAATCGAATAAATGAAGTCCCAAATTGTTTTCTTGTAAATGATAATTATACGTTTGGGCCTGAAACCGGGCTGAAAGTGTGACACATATGTTTCATTGAAATATATTCGCGCCACTTGATATAAATTATGACCGAATGTTTCTTTCTTTTCTTTGTTTATTTGTTCCTTTATGTATGCAAGGGCTGATGAACGCATCTTTATAGCATTCTAGTACAAAATCATTTAAAGTTTTTTAGCGTTAATCGCCGACAGATTTTTTTTATAGTCTGGTAGTAATCAAAAGGCAGCCATTTGCCTTTTTACTTTGTTCTTGAAGTCTGCCATCTTGAATTAGGTTTAATGGTAATGTTAAAAATTAAGTGTTGTTCAAAGTGCCACGTCGTAAGAGGCCAGGTGTCGCCGCACATGGACACACAGAGCGGCATCAACACATAAGTGTCTTAACACAATATTACTCAGGCCTAGTCTCGGTGGCTTCGAACTTCTATAATCGCTCGCGCGGCTCTGTAATTACATCAAACATAATATAATCCCTGACGAAAGTGTCGGAAATCATTTAGTAACTGTGCGTGGCCTTCACGGACTTGCAATCCGAAGCCTATCATCTTGAATGAGATTAAATGTTAGTGATATAGCTTTTTGCAAATTTCTCAGTTTTTAATAACAATTAATTTATTTTACTATTTTTTACAGCAATTTTGAATCACCCTGTCTACAGGGTGGATTTTTAGTGCGAGAGAGTCCATTATTTCCGTTGATGTTGAACTTTCGAAAAATAGTTTCATATAAAAGTTGTTGACGCACAAAGTGCAGATACAGTGTCTCCGAAAAACGAGGCAAGATCAAAGTGTATTTTTTAAATAGATGTACCCATTTTTCATTAGCTAATTTTGTTTCTGATTGTAAAAAACTTGTTTTTAAAAAACCGTTTATTACGAATCAAAAATGTTTTTTACAACAACGAGATGTTACACTATTTCCTACTAACTTAAGA